CAGCCTCTCAGGGCTGGCCACTGTCCTTGGCACCTAGTAGGTTACTCAACATTTAGTTGAGTAGGCACTCAACTATTTAAATTGTTGAGTGCCTACTATGTGTCAGGTATTACACGAAGTATGAGAAATACAGAGACAAATAAAACACAATCTCCAACTTCAAGAAGTTCTTAAAGGTTGGAACTGCCACAGAAAACTCCAAGAGAGAGGTGAGCCATGGGCAAGGAAGGGGATGTAGGCAGGCATAAAGGAGGTACCAAGAAAGGAAACAAAGGCACAAGGGCAGGAACGAAACAATACTGCAGGCCATGATGAAGAGTGAGTGGGCCACTGAGGAGATGCTACCTCCCAAAGCAAAGAATTGAGAGAAAGTGAAAGTGAGCGGTGAGAAAGTGAAAGTAAGAAGCCAGAGAAAAGGCTGGTGGATTAAAGAACCTATTTACTCACTTGGAAGGTGAATGTGTGGGACATCCGACTAACATTGTTATAATTCTGAGGATGGATGTCATAGAAGGTATTTATACCGCAGCTAATTTGCCTAGTGGAAATAAACCAGTTGGCTCATGGCTGTGCAGCTTATCATCAAGATTATTAAGGAACTATTCGACTACATGCCATTCTTTCTGATTACCACAATTTTCCCCAGGCATTTTTATACCAATATTGGTCTTCAAAAGGTGCATGACATTTATAATATGGCACACATCAGGAAAAACAAAGTAAGCTTTATTGTGCATTTTCTTAGATTTTCTTAATAGTAATGATAGAATATGACAGTATTTTAACGAATGGTGGTGCTATCAATTGTGTGAATTAGAATATATTAAACAATGCTTCTGGGAGGCAAAGGAGGTTATTAAAGAATACTTAGGCAGGGTAAAAAAAAAAAGCCTGAAAAAAAATGTTCCCCTGGGCCTGGGGAAACCAGCTAATAGATAATATGGGGAGTAGATGGGAGCTGCATTCCAAAGTAATTTTCCTTATGACTGAAAATGTTTTAATGACTAATTTTATTCTCTTGTTGCAGGTAGAAGCCTTTAGTATATTATAATCAAATGTGCTCAACATGGACATTTTGTATTATATATAGTACAAATAAGAACCAACAGTTTGGGGAAAACAGGGTAAGATTCTTCCCTTTAGTAGTTCTATTTTTATAAAATAAACAGATGCATTACAAGGTGACTCTGAGAATCCTAGACATCAGTAGAAATAGACTAAATATGAACCTGGCTGGGCCTCTCCAAAGCCTTAAGCTGTCATTCTTTTACTAGTCTAACGTAGTTGAATTGCACGTGGTTTTTTTTTTTTGACTTATCATCTGCATGATCTGAGACACTGCCTAACCTCTCTGAATTTTTAGGTGCCTATGTCATAAAATCTGAATAAGAAAACTTACCATATACAGGGTGGATGAAATGAAATTAACACTATGATGTATATAAATTGTATAGCATAACACTTTGCAGCCCCCAAGTAAGGATGGGCTATTAATAGTAGATAGTTATTATCACTGATATTTCTGCAATGTGATTATTAATTTACTGTACTAGAAATATGCTGGATTTAGTCAGAAGCCCTATGTTTCAGTCCCAGATAAGCTTACCAGCTTACTATTTCCTCATCTATAAATGGCAATATTATGATGATAATAATGTCTGCTTTGCCTAAATCACAAAATTATGGGAGGCTCCAAAGGTAATGTATGTGCAAACTGTACATGGTTAAATGAATTAAGGTAATTTCTCCTCTACTGTATATATCCAAATGAAAGAAACTCAAGTGTAAAGCCATTTGCCTTTAGTGCACCATGAATATAATACTATTCACTCTATTAGCACAAATAAAAAAGGAATATATTCAGTTTTTCAGTAATGGTGACTTACTCTCATATTCTGAGTATGACTCTTTACAGTTAATATTACATCTGTATCTTACTGTTATAAAGTATAAACAACTAGCAGTACATATACAAATCTCTCAAAATTAAAACATGACTACTAAAAATGTAAATATAAACAGACTATTTCTACCACTAAATCAGGTAGTAGAGTCATACATTTACTACTTATAACCCCAATACAAAGATAATCCAAGAGCAAACATGTTGTTTAAAAATAATCAAAAAATTGTGATGCAGTTAAGGAATAGAAAAAAATTTGCTAAATTGTTGGGCAATATCAAACTGAATTTGGAACCATATCAAAGTTAATTGTAAATTTTTCACTTGAATTACAAGAAGTCTGGATATATATATTTTTTCTTTTTTCTTTTTTTTAGACAGGGTCTCACTCTGTCACCTAGGCTAGAATGAAATGGTGTGATCTCAGTTCACTGTAGCCTCTATCTCCCAGGCTCAAGTGATCCTCCCACCTCAGCCACCTGAGTAGCTGGGACTACAGGCACATTCCACCATGCCTGGCTATTTTGTGTGTGTGTTTGTGTGCGTGCGTGTGTGTGTGTGTGTGTGTGTTTTGTAGAGATGGGTTTTCGTGTTGTTGCCCAGGCTGGAACTCTGGATATTCTAGCATGACAAATGTTGCTTGAATAAAAAATTACAGAAGACATGTCCAGAGCTCAGTGGTGGATGGATTGACTGAAGGCCAGTGGAAATTATAGCTCAGATTTTCACCAACTTAACCCTCACTCCTATTTTTGGACAAGAGCCAAGAAAAGGTTATTTCTCCTCAACATGCAGAATAGGAGAGAGAGAATTTAAATATTCTACATGTTCTGTATCTGACAACTGATGATTTTAAGAGCAAATATTTGGGTTAGAGAAAAAGCAGCCTCAGGAAACAACTACAAGTAAGCTGTGGAGAGAGTTAAAATACGTTTTATCTGTACATAATTAACCTACATATCATCCCTTGTTGATTCCTTTGTTCTCTTTTTTTCCCTCACCCTGGAATTTAAGACTATGAACAAGATGCCACAGAGATGAGAGGTGACTCAAAAGGGTTGCTAACACGATTTATCCAAACATCATTAGGATGATTGGTTAGGAAAAACAGAGGACAGATATTGGAATGCAAGGATGGCTTTGGTCTTGAGATATAAAAGCAAAAGTAGGCTTGAGGATTCATGATGTATATCATACAATTCCTTCCCTTTGGCTGTTTACAGGTGACATAGGATTTGGTAGAACAGGACAATCTTTGATTTGTCTGCTTAATTATCAACTAACATTCTCTAGTCTGTAGTAATTATTCCTACCTGATATCTTTCAGCGCAAAGCCCTGTAATAAATGGTAAACACATAATAATAAGTTTTAAAGGCTAAACTCCTAAGAGGAGTTCAAGATAGGGAGGCAACATATCTGTGTTTGCTGGAAAGAAAAGTCAGCTAACCTCTGAGAGCAATATATATATTTTTAAGGCAGTTCAAAGATGTTTCATTTCTGTGATTTTTGACATTGAGGATGAGTGTCTAAAATATTTACAAGTGAAACTGACTAGGTTTTTATTTTAAAAAATACAACAGATTATAGCAAAAAGATTAAGGGCAAATGGATGTACTGGTCTCTATGATTCTGGTGTAAATAAACACTATTTCTTGGAAAATAGTTAAAAAAGAAAAAATGCTCTCTCAGCCAGGAGATGGAAAGGACGTTCAAGCTCTCAACTACTTAAAGTTGTAAACAGTGTGGGTGTGAAACAGCAGTAAAGAACAACGAGGCCCTGTGAAGTTTCAACAAGAGGGGTGGGTGTATAATAAATAATAAAAATGCCAGATACAGCTATAAAAATAGAGAAGTGTGTGTATCCATAGGAAATAGATCATGCAATAGAGAGAAGTACTCATCTACAATTGTCTGCACAGAAATCAAGTCAAAATATTCAAAATTTAACAAAAATGAAATGTCACCCAAACACTCTCAAATAACATGTGCATGAATAAAAAGAACATCCACAGTCCAGGATGTAAAACCCATGTGAAAAGTGTATCCTATGAGCCAAATTCTCCGAATAAACTGGTGCCCCCTTGGAAGGGAAGGAGCACCACCCCCACCTGTAATAGAGGTGCAAATGGGCTGACAGTGATTTCAGTAGAAATTCTGCACCCACAGAGAGGCCTGTGTGTCTTTGTTTTATACCTGCTGAATGCAAAGAGCAAGGCTCTGAGGTTAGGAGCAACCAGTTGTCCCTTCAAATCTTGCACAGTCAGGGTCTAGGGTGTTCAAGGTCTTGAACATGATTCCTTTTGCCTGCAGCAGGGTCAGAGAAATGCCCATTTCTTATCTCTCTGTCTAGCCTTTCTTGGCTCAATCTCTGTCTGGTGTCCAGTCATTTACTTAGTGTTAGACTTTTCTATATTTATAATTCCCAGCATGGAGTATGGAGCTCTTTGGAGAAAAGATGTTATTTAGATTGTTCTACTCATTTAAGTTAAAAAACATCAAACAAGGCTGTACCTACAGCTCCTTAGAATATAGTTATATGTAAACAAAAATTGAAAACTGATGTTTAGAATCACAAGTTTACATTTAGGAACAAAAGGAAGATGTGTTGTCAACAAATCAAAATGGAAACTATATGGTGTAAGAAGAAATCATATCTGAGGTATACTTTTATTAAAGATGACAAAGACAAGTAACAGATAATAGAGGAAATCCCGATTTGAATAAGAAGATACAGCTACTCATCCATGTGCTGAAAGAGGTAATATCTATGAAACGATTCAAAAGAATAAAGACTTTCTAAGATAAAAGGGAATCTTTTGGAACTGCACAAATGAGTTGTACTCTCTACTTCTTACATACAATATCTACATTTAGAAAAAAGTAAATTCAAATATTTAAGGATGAAGCAAAAGAAAGTATTTTTGTAATGAAGGTCAAGTCTTAGATGAATTTTATGAGCCCAGCGAACATAATGATATCCAGAAATAAAAATAATTCTTTTGAAGAAAGATAAGGAACTATTACTATTAACAAAATTGTTCTTTTACTATTCTACATGGTTTACTTTCCAGTTCACATTTACAAGAAGTTTCTTACCTTGGCTGACTGTTCACCTTTTCATGTTTTCCATTGAAGTTCAAACTACAGAGGTTTTTTGATTTTGAATGTGAAGAGTCTGATTCCAAATTTGCCTGTGTTTGCTCTCTCAAACGATCGTGAAGTGTTGCCTCCTTTTTCAAGTTCATGTCCGAATACGGGCAGCCAAAAGCACTGGTTTGTATAAAAATGAAAGCACCGTCGTCAGTATATAGTGATAAATCAAGGATCCACTGTCATTGGAGCAGACTTACATCTAATATTTAAAAATTGCATAGAAACATTCCTGTTTCCCTAAGCACACTCAAAGTAACAGTTTCTTTTCATATTGCCTTTTGAGAAAATCTTAGGTTCTAGAACCACAGACGCTGGTCCACAAAGAATTATACACAGATTCATCAGTACATATGGTGTTTACAATTTTGGAAACTTAAAAATCTAAGAATAGCATAGAGATGTACTTCCAATGGAACAGTAAAAATGTCACATAACACTTGACTCAGTTTATATTGTCAATACGGATTCCCTGCTTTGACTATATCAGAAAAGACTATGGGTAACTAAGCATATTTGCTGGTATCAGAGAATGTTGTGTTTTCATTTCTTAATATTCATGTATGTAGAAACACTCTATCTGCTGTTCTGCTTAATCCTCCAGAGCTTTGCTGGGAAGTTTTGTGCTGTGGTGTGAAAGGATACCTTGTAGATGAGAGAGGAGAGGCCCAAGCCCAGGTCTGCTGAGTGTCTTCTCTCCCCTCAAAGACAAGGCTGAGTCCTGAGTCCTGGATGTTGTCAGAGCCCAAGAGCAGGCTATGGGCAGAAGGATCTTCCAGGGCCAGTGACCTGGTTCCCTCTGCAGGCTGATAGGCTGTCTCCATTGGATCCCTTTGCCTGCATCCCTGTCTCCAAGGAGGCCCTAAGCCTCTCCCACTGCCAGAAATGCGGTAGCCACACCAGGGAAGACACACATAAGACAGGCTACTTGGACACTACCCTGGGGAAGATATTTATGCTAGAGCTTCAGAGATTCTCCCCAGTCAATTGAGAAAAGCAGATCCAACTCATAAGGGTTGTTGTGACCCTGAGAAATCACAAACACATGCATGCACACACACACGCACACACGCACTCATACATGCACGTCATGAAATGGTAGCTGTTATCGCCATCACAGTGTTAAATCGGCTACATCTAGAGGATCACGTGGTCAAATTCATCAACATCAAGGCAGTTGGTTCTTTTTTGAGAATTCACTTCCTACTCACTGTAAATTTGCTGATACATAGTACAAAATAAGTCCATTCTGAATACGTGAAAGCTTTCTTTTATTTTAAGGTCATGCTAAAATTGTGGACCAGAACAGATTTCTGGTCCACAATTTTATCATGAGCCCAGCGAACATAATAAAAATAGATTGGATTTTTCTGGAGAAGGCCATACACATTCTAACCCCAAAAGGACTTTAGTACCAATATCTAGAGTGGACTCTGGAACTGGGGACAGGATGGTTAAGATGATACCAGCCTGGCTCAGCATGATCTATACCTGTATCAGCAACCTTTACTACAGAGAAAAGGGCCCACTTTACATGCATGTTCTATAATTTGTAATAATTGGTATTGATCTATTGGTTTATTAATCTCCTTTGTTCTTGCCATCCCCTTCCCATGACATGACTATCGCCTCCACATCCTAAACATAGGATGTAAGGCTCCACTTCCCAGATGCCAGCTGGCCAGTCTTCCATGTGCTTCTTGCCCTGAATTATTCCCTGCTAGGTGCTGTGCCCGCTAACTGGGAACCCTCCCTTCCTCTTGGATTCTTCCCAGGGGCTCTGATTCCAAGAGTCTAGACAATGATTACTGTTGCCAACCCCCTTGGATACCAGGTTCTGTTCTTCAACTATACTCTCCTCTTGCATCAACAATGTTTCATTTTCTCAGACCCAAGAAGCAGATTTGATTCCCACTTCTCTGACTGCCCTGCTCTGCTAAAATGGTGGGTAGTGCTCTGTCACATCCTGGAGATGGGCAGTTCACAGCAGGAGGTTATAACAAAGTTGCCATGACTTACCTAAGGGTGGCTTCCCAGCCTGTGTGCAGCTACACCCTCAGGTGACCAGGGGATTCTGGGGTACCAGAGTCCCAGATGAGCCCTTCCAGAACTCCAGCAGCCTCAAGGCTCTAAGCCCCATCTTGTTCCCAAACACGGATGATCATTTTTTCTCTGTGACATGACATTTAAAAAGTTGGAAAGCATGACAAATTTAAGCAAAATGGCAAAGAGGAAATAGCTTATTGAGTGCTGTAGTTCAAAACATAACTAAATAACCCAGAAGTCAGCAGTATTTCAGGAAGGGCGTCAAGTTATTGACAACATTTCTTGGGATCCTGAATAATAAAGTCACCTGAAATAGGCAAGTCTCTCCCAAGAGGGGTTCAGATGTGGAAATGTGGCTTCCTATAGCCCAGGAATTAGACACAGTCAGATGGTAAAGGGTTCTCTAAAGGCAGCTAACTCACCCCTCCATGAAGCCTACATTATTTTATATTTTAGTCTCAATTATTTTGCTAACCAATTATATTCTTTTCCTTCAAGAGACAGATGAGATAAGACTGAAGAGTCCTCTCTTAGCTGAGAGGTCAGATTCTAAAAGGTGCTACGTCTGGGTGGGTGGGGGGCATCTCCACGTGGAAGTCTTCATGGAGAAGAAGGTCAGAGGCCCCCCAGAACCAAAGGACAGGAGGAAGCATGAGTAGTCATGCCTGTCAGATAACAAGAGAGGGCACTGAGACTTGGCAGAGAAAGGGGCTCAGCCATGGAAATGAGAAGGAAGAGGTATATGCTGCCTGTCTCACCATGTGGCCTCAGGTCCTGATGGCAGCAAGAGCCTGTCCCAAGGCAGGGGGCTCCTGCGGAAGATTCTAGGAAGTTGCACGCACCATGGCCGCCTTCCACCCTGGGAAAGCAACGCCTTCCTGCCACACTATTTCCCTCCCTGCCCTTTCACTTCATAAAAATAACCCGGCCCTTTTCAGAACTGTATTGTCTTTAGTATGCCGTGGTCTACTCTTACATAGTATAGAGATGTTAAGTGAACATCTTTTATTCTTACGAAATACTGATTGGCCAAATGACATCAATAGACATAACAAATGTCAAAATGCAGATTATTGAAGTTACGGAACAGTGATAATACTTTTTGTATGACTGAAATGGTTGCTGGTTTTACCTCTAGGAAGTGTAAGAGCAAGTACAGATGATACATGTTGAGATGTGGACCAGGAAGTAAGAGCCATCAGGAGTTTTTAACATCTGCTGAGAATGTGACATGATTTTTAGTATATTGTCTTCAAACACAGAGATAGGCAGAAGCTAAATATTACATATATGGGGAACGATCCAAGATGGCTGATCACTAACATCTCGGGATTGCAGCTCCCAGTGAAAGCACAGAGAATGAGAGGACGCCACTCTTTCAGACAAATTTTTGTCGCTCACGGACCAGAAGATTCCCAGTGGAGGAGCCCCACGGGTCGCCAGCACTCTGGTGGCCGGCACAGCAGTTTTGCCTGCACCTCGGCGCGGCAGCTCTTGGTGTAGAGTAAACGGGACTGGTTCCCCTTCTGACCGACGTTTGGAGCTCCGGGAAGGCAGAGTCGCCTATTACAGACTCAAGAAGGAAGCCAGATTGGAGATTCCTGGGCAGAAAAGCACCATCAGTCTTAACGCAGACTTTTGGCTGGCGCAGTGGGTTGCTCAGATTTTGGCCCTCGGAATTAACAACTTGGACATCCACTCAGAGACCTAATTTGAAAGTTGGTAATTACAAAGACGACAGGTGGATAAATTTACAATGATGGGAAGAAACCAGTGTAAAAAGGCTGAGAATACTCAAAATCAGAATGCCTCTCGCGCTAAAGATGATCACAGTTCCTCATCAACAAGGGAACAAGGCTTGATGGAGAACGAATGCATTCCATTGACAGAATCAGGCTTCAGAAGGTGGATAATAAGAAACTTCTGTGAGTTAAAAGAACATGCTGTAGCCCAATGTAAAGAAACTAGGAATTTTGAAAAAAGGTTTGATGAAATCCTAATGAGAATATACAATTTAGAGGAATATAAGTGAATTAATGGAACCAAAGAATACAATATGGGAACTTCGAGAAGTATGCACAGGTTTAAACACTCGAATTGTTCAAGCAGAAGAAAGGATATCAGAGGCCAAAGACCAACTTAATGAAATAAAATGAGAAGACAAGAATAGGAAAAAAAGGATAAAAAGGAATGAGCAAAGTCTCCAAGAAATATGGGACTATGTGAAAAGACCAAATTTACGTTTGATAGGTGTACCTGAATGCGACGGAGAGAATGAATCCAAGCTGGAAAATACTCTTCAGGATATTATTCAGGAAAACTTTCCCAACCTAGCAAAGCAGGTCAATATTCAACCCCAGGTAATACAGAGAACAGCACAAAGATATTCCTCAAGAAGAGCAACCCCAAGGCACATAATCGTTAGATTCACCAGGGTTGAAACAAAGGAGAAAATACTAAGGGCAGCCAGAGAGAAAGGTCAGGTTACCCACAAAGGGAAGCCTATCAGACTTACAGCAGAACTCTCAGCAGAAACTCTACAAGCCAGAAGAGAGTGGGGGCCAATATTCAACATCCTTAAAGAACACAACTTTCAGCCCAGAATTTCATATCCTGCCAAACTAAGCTTCACAATTGAAGGAAAAATAAAATCTTTTATGAACAAGCAAGTACTCAGAGATATTATTACCACCAGGCCTGCTTTATGAGAGCTTCTGAAAGAAGCATTACACATAGAAAGGAACAACCAGTATTAGCCTTTCTAAAAATATACCAAAAAGTAAAAAGCATCAACATAAAGAAGAATTTATATCAACGAATGGATAAAATAGCCAGATAACATCAAATGGCAGTAACCCTAAATTTAAGTCGACTAAATCCCCCAATCAAAAGATACAGCCAAAACCTAACAGTGTGCTGCATCCAGACCCATTTCACATCCAAAGATACACAAAGACTCAAAACAAAGGGATGGAGAAAGACTTACCAACCAAATGGAGAGCAAAAATAAATAAATAAATAAAAAGCAGGAGTTGCAATTCTCGCATCTGATAAAATAGATTTCAGAGCAACAA